TGTGTGTGTGTGTGTGTGTGTGTGTGTGTGTGTGTGTGTGTGTGTGTGTGTGTGTGTGTTCAAAGGGTCCAACCCTGGAATCCCACACATCTTTCCCCCCTATACTTCTCACTCTCTCTTCAAGGCAGTCATTGTGAAAGCTTAGCTAATATTAGGCTACGTGTGTGTGTGTGTACGTACGTGTGTGTGTGTGTGTTATCTAGAAAAGAAAGAAGTTGTGCATTCTAATAGTTGAGCACAGGCCTGTTTCCTCTGACGGAAGTAGATGTCTCCTCTGCGCGTCTTGCACAAACTGACAGTCAGTTTATATCTGGATTCAGTTGACATGTTTCAAGTCTTTCCACATTTGAATGTATCTTATGTACGTTATGCAAATAAGTTGCAGTTGCAACTGTGACTTTGATGAAACCAAGGAGATCTTTTTTTTTTTTCCCCCATCACAGCGTTTTTTTCTCTTTCAACACGTTTTATCTGCTGCTTTCACCTCTGCAGTCCTGCGAGCGCCGTTTCATCACTGCTGCAGGAAATGAGTCAATGTGTAAAGTCTCTATATCCTGATGAAAGCTGAAACCTAGTCATATTCATAAGACTTGACAGTGTTCGCTCTCTCCTCCTTCTTGTTGACCTGCCTTCCCTTAAAGTTCTGTGTGGTGAGCTGACATTTCATGAATTCAACACAATTTTAAAATCTAATCTGTGTAGCCCCAGTGGAAACATCTGTAGTATTTAGAACTGTGGGAACACGCACATGTGCATTTGGCTTTAAATCTTGAAATCTGCCGACGAGGCTTCTGAAGCCAGGTCTGATCTGTGAGTGACGTTTTCCTGTTCAGCTCAAGTTTGTGCAAACCAGAACCTTTCCCCTGCCGAGACTGGTTCACTCGTCTCACTGGAGAATGACTCGTAGTAACTCCAACGTAATTAGTCTTTCAAATCATTATTTGATTAAACAGACCGTTAAGATCTAACATTTCAGATTGTAATTGTGTGTCATGTATTATATCAACTTATTAAATTAACTTCCACGTCTTGCACATTTACAATCTGCATGAAAAGGTTGAAGCTCTTGACACTGAAGCATGTGTACTGCACATGTCTTCTGGTTAATGTTTAAGTGTTTAAGCTTATTTCCTTTTTTCCATCATTCCCTTTTCAACCCCATGTTGGAAAATTAGTGACAGTCACATGAAAGATAAAAATAAAAATGTCATATTTGTCTGTGCAGGCTACAAACTGATATAATAGTGATACGATTGTTTAGGTTCATCCGTCTGTTCACTGGAAAGTTTAACTTCATCATGATTGTCTGAATATTTTTCTATAGAAACTAACGTCCTTAGTCTTCCAGGTATATGAGCAGGATTTTTTTAATTCTGATGATTGTTCTGCATTAAAACTGAGGAATCACCGAAGTTATTACATTTCATTCTGAGGGAATGAAGCAGTTCTCCAACCAGTTTTTAATATGTGTGGAAACATCTCACGTAAAGTCCAGATGTCAAACTCACGGCTCTAGAAGTTTAGTCAAAACACCAAAGTCATTGGGATTCATCCTCTGGGGACCATGCATATCTCTTCAGCACTGATTGGGTCTTGGAGGGTATTTAAAGATGGACGACATTGCAGCCCCACGAAGGTGAACTTTTTTCTAAGTTTTTGTCACTTTAAAGAGTTCTTATCAAGGCTGAGTCTGACCTGTGATTGGTCGAGTGTGTATCGGCCCCGATGAACTAGAAACTCATTTATATGTATGTGTAGTTGATGAAGAAAGAAGATTTCACCACATGTGCAAGTGCTGGTAGATGAGAGGAGGATGAACGTCAGGACAGAACAGGAGAGAAGGAGGAAAAACACAGGTGATAAACACGTTGGAGGTGCTGCTGCACGGCTCAGAGGAAGAGAGGAGGAGAATTTAAATAAGGCTGAGATGCAGAGGTATCATCATCATCATCATCATCCTGGTAACCGGATAGCTGCGGTCCCGGAGCCGTGTGGTGACTTCCTGTTTGTCAGCAGCATACAGGAAGAGGCCCCCAGATGATGGTGTGACTGTGTGTGAGACTTAAAATGAAGTGAGAGGTCGAGCAGTGTGATAGGAAACAGGAGTATTGAGGTGTGAATGTGCGAGCATGCACAGAGGGAGGGGGTTGTATCATGGTCCCTCCGCTTCGAGTTTAACTGGCTCCTGAATTCTTAACATCTTTATCTGAAGTGTGCATCACTGATGTTTGTGCGTGTTTTCCAGTCACACCGGCCACGATGCTGCGGTACATGTGATGAGAAGGTCACACGAGATTTAACCATGTGTCTGCAGTTGCAGAAAATCAGATGCATGGAATTATTTGTCTGAAACGTGTTTGTGGTTCGTGTTTGCTTGATAAAATGTTGCGTCAAAGACGTGCTTTATTTTGAAAGTGTTTTTCGGGGGAACGGCACGAACAGAAATGCAGCTTCTCTCTCGTGTGGATTGTGTATCATGCTAAGATATTGGGTTTCTGAGCTTTTAAAATCAAATTATAGATATTAATTATATATTATCACTCAGGTAAGTTCCTGCAAGATTAAACATTAATAATGATTCAGCCGTTGCCAGTAAGTACTCTTATCACCTGCTCACTGATGAAACCTGTTTTTCTTGATATATTTCAAGCAAAGAATCATCACAATTGAAACAACCACACTGTATGTGTAAGGTGACACTTCAGGGATTAATAAACTATCTGGAATCCAATCATCTCATATCGTATAAAACTAGAATCGCTGCTCGTCCCTGAAGGGCGAAGGTTTTACTCGAGAAAAGTCTACATCCATTTTGTTGTCTGTCTGGACTGCAGGTTGAAAATAGCAGTGAAAAATCAATGAGCTCCCGTTGCACATTCAGAATAAAGTAATGCTGAGGCTGCATTCATATTTAGTCTGCAGGGACCTATTTGTTTTTCCCTTGTGGACACCGAGTCTCCAGTTCCAGGAAGCGGTGCGGCTGCTGAAGTAGCTGCAGAACCAGTGTGTCTGATTACTGTGCTGCTCTGTTTGATTAAGTGTTTGTGTGATCCGTCCTCCAGGGTGCAGCGTCCAGTGCAGACAGAGTGAACTGGAGAGAGGAAGATGCCAGCCCCACCTCCCCCACCACCCCCTGGGCCTCCCCCTCCTCCCACCTTCGCTGAAGTAAGTCAGTCTGGTCTCATGCACAGCAGAGACATCTTTTGGATGAATTGTTTCAGGACATATTTTCTCCTGTTAAGTCCTCTCACTGTCTTTTAACTCCGCCGCCTAATAGGGATTCTATTGTTATCACATTTAAAATGACTCAGCGACTATATAACGCTGTGTGTGTTTGTGTGTGTCTGTTTGTTTCAGGCCAACACACAGAAACCAAATCTGAATCGATCACAGCAGCAGGGACGGAACGCTCTGCTGACCGACATCTCTAAAGGAGCCAGATTAAAGAAAACTGTTACCAATGACCGCAGTGGACCATTACTGGACCGTGAGTTAACAAGAGCACTAGTTAGTTACAACATCTGGGAAATAAAACAACAATCAGACAACATAAGAAAGTAAAAGTAAAGACGCACATAAAACCCACCTGTCCAAAAGGTGGACGACAGACTAGGGTCCTAAAACTAATAGTTCACAAAAAAATAATAAATAAATTATAATGATGAGATTATTTTCAAGAACTAAAGGGACTAAATAATGAATTAAAAAAAAAAATTGTTTGTCCTCTCAGAACCCAAAGGAGGAGGAGGAGGAGGAGGCGGCAGAGGGGGAGGTGGAGGTGGAGGCGGTGGAGGAGGCGGAGGAGGCGGAGGAGGCGGAGGAGGAGGTGGTGCGCCTAGTTTAGGAGGTCTGTTTGCAGGAGGGATGCCAAAACTGAGGTCTGCTGGAAACAGAGATACCAATGGTAAAAAAAATATATTAGTCTAATACTGATGAAGGTGACCGACATGAAAAAAAACTGCATCTGGTAACAGAATTCATTTAGTCTTTTCATCCCTCCAGACTCCGCACCCAGCCGAGGACCTGTGCTCCCCCCAGGAGGCCGCTCCAGTGGCCCCACCCCCTTTGGTGGACCACCTAAACTCCCAGGAGCCCCTGGCGGTGTCCGTAGCAGCGTCCCTGACCTTCCCAAGGGACGCCCGAACTTCTTATCCAGACAAGACACTCCAGGAGGGCCCCCTCCCCCTGTACCCAACACACCTCGACCAACCCAGTCCTTCCAGACTCGTGGGGGACCGTCTCCACCATCGCTCCCTGGAGGACCAAGACCCAGCCCGGCCTCTGTGCCTCAACCTCCCAGTGTTCCCCCAGGGAGACACGGACATCTGCCTCCCCCACCGGGAGGCTCCTCATCTGGTTCAAGACCGGTCTTCTCTGCACCTCCTCCACCCCCAAACAGCAGCCGACCCCCCATGCCCCCGGCTCCTGGAGGGAGACCCCCGCTTCCCGACGACCGGCCCCCGCCACCACCAGCACCAATTGGAGGTCATCGGCCATCTATGCCCCGCGACATGCCCCCTCCTCCCCCCTCTGTCAACTCCAAACCTTCCTCCTCTGTCTCCAACTCCTCCTCTCCTCGCTCCTCACCCGGCGGGCCTCCTCTCCCACCGGGGCGACCGGGCCCTCCGCCTCTCCCACCCACCCCAGCTGGAGGGGACGACCACAGCACACCTCGTCTACCCCAGAGGAACACCTCACTCAACAGGTACCAAGAAAGTTTTACTTGTGACAGCCTGAAATCCACATTAGTTCAATGTTAATGGCTGAGCAGCAGAGAAGCCAGATGTGTCATGTGACATAAACTTCATGACGGTTGATGCCAACCTCCTCATGATCAGTTCACAGCTCGATGAATCACCCTTCCAGAAGCTACATAATTACAATCTGCAGGATGAACTTCTTTTTTTAAACTGTGGTGTTTATTTTTTGCAGTAGTCCCTTCACTTGTTTTTCTCACCAAACTTAACAGACACTTCTACGATCGACAGTGGCACAGAACACTTGTACAGAGCGCTGCTTGACAAACATGTCTGGGTTTTTGTAGGTTACTTCTGCCTCTTGCTAATTGGTGCTTTGGCCCTGGATGTGGTAATCAGAGTGGAAGTGGGTCAGGATGTCACTGAGCTACACTCGCTGTAATATTTTTGAGTTTCAGTGATGTTCAGGAGTTGGTAACTGGATGTTCGACCATCATGTGACCTGTTCTCTTCTCAAGAGGAGTCCTTTTATTGATGAAACAGTTGTCTTCCTCTCCTCACCAGCCACGGTCCAGCTCCGCCTCATAGCCGGACAGGGCCTCTCCCTCCCCCGCCCAACGAGAGACCGCCATCTCTTGGGAGGAACCAATCCTCAGTACGCTCAGGTGAATGGCCTTCATCAGTGGATTACGGCTGCATACAAGTCATTTAGAAATAAAGTAGAAAGTTTAAAATAACTTCAGGAGCCATTATTCACCAGCTAACTTTTTCCTCCAAAGGGCCTCTTCCTCCCCCTCCTCCCTCAAGTCGTAGCATGGGTGGGGGCAGTGTGAGGTCATCGCTTTCTCCCTCTCCGATTGGCCGGCCAGGCCCGGATCCCCCTCGCGGTGGACCTGGCGGTAGACCCCCCCTCCCTCCAGACAGGCCCGGGGTGGGAGGAGCCCCTCCACCTCCTCCGTCACCCATGGGCAACGGCTTCCAGAACTCTCACCACAACCAGATACAGGGTGAGCAGGTCCTTGTTGGTGCTGGTTTGAAATGTTCGAATATATAGATTGAAAACACAGAGCAGATATGAAACAAACAAAACCCAGAAATTCTGCATTTCACCAGCAAGGAAAGCAGTATTATAGATTTAATAACAATAAAACCACGAAATCCAGCAGGAATCTAATATGTAAGTTCATCTGCACCACTAATAAGTCTGCAGGCAGATTTCAGTCATTTGCCTTGTTGAGGATACTGTACTCGCATAGTTGGAACAAGAGAAACCCGCTGCCCCCAGTGTTTTCTTAAACACCAGTTCCACTGTGTGCAGCGATGGCAGAGAAACTCGCTGACCTCTGAATGTGTTGTTTCTGTCCCATTGAACCAAGACAGAAAGTTTGAATGGTGCAGACAGGTAGTGAGGGGAGGGGTCCCGACTGAGCGCCCAGACCTGGGTTTATAAACGTTTTCTGCAATTCTACACGAATTCGTACCACTTCATTCCTTTTGACTCTCTCGCGCTCTGAGTGCCTCTGATGCGCACGACAGCCATTGATCTCTATTTCTCTCCTTTAACAGATGAGTGGGAGTGTCGCTTCACCTTCCATCCGGTGTCAGACCTTCCTCCACCTGAGCCCTACGTGCCCTTCCAGAAGACCTACCCCAGCAAGATTGGCAAGACTGACGGCAGAGGTCAGACACAGACACGCACACGTGTCTTAATGTGATTAGAAAATGCTCATGTCACTTCGTGTAGTTGGTGGAGTATAGCTCCAAAATGTTGTTTTTTCAGGATCAAAGAAAAAAATCAGATGTCATCAGACGCCTGACTGTGGTTTTCAGTTTGTTGAGGAGTCTCTTCACTAGTTTTCATAAAAACCACTTCTCATTTTTTCATACACTGACAGCCCTATGATACCATGGAGATTTGTTTTTACCACCAAGTTAGACTGATGGTTAGCACTAAAGAATTCAATTAGGTTAAAGTTATATATCGTCAGCTCCATCTGGTGGAAGAAAGTTACATCAAAATCCTTGACTCTATTCTTGATTTTCTTCTCTCCAGGTTCTGGTAAAAAGGAGAGAGGAGCTCCTCCTCTTCCTCCGATACCCAGGTGAAGAGGAGGCAGTAGCCAAGACAACACCTGGAACTATTCTCCCTGTTTCCCTCCTCTTCTCTGTTGCTCTCAATTTGCTTTCAACGACAGCGTTTGTTATTTGTGGTGACTACAACGTGTGAAATACAGTCGACCAAGTAAAAGGACAAACTCACAAAAAAAAACAAAAAAACATTGAGTTTACATCACGTGCCTTTGAAAGACCAAAGCCCGTTTCTCCGCACTGTGTTCAGATCAAATGTAAAATAGACTCGTACCTTTTTGGGTACCAGAAGAAAAATATGATTTTTTTATGTTTTACAACCACGTTGTGAGTGGAAGATGCTTTGTTGATGTGGCTGCTGTGAAACATAAAGTACTCAAGAGAAGTTGTATTTTTCATAAACTTTGACTCTTTTATTTACACTAGAGTCCATACATTGCCTGCTTATTATATTTTATCAACAAGCTGCACTTTCAGAAAAGAATACAAACTCTCTTGTCAGATAAAGCAGCATTTGACAGGTTGTACATGTGCCTTCCCCAAACCTGTTTACATATTCCCGACAGCATTCCGTAAAATGTAAATCAACACGTGATGGCGTCCCGGCATCGCAGTGGTTAGCTCTGTCACCTCACATGTCTTTCTGTGTAGAGTTTGCATGTTCTCTCCGTGTTTACGAGCTCTAGCTTCCTCCCAGAGTCGTAAAAACATACATCTTGGATTTGGTTAATTAGAGACTCTAAATTGACCTCAGGTGTGAATGTGTGATACCCCGCCTCTCGCCCAATGTTTCGCTCCAGCTCCCCCCACGACCCTCAAAGGATAAGAAGTATGGATGAATCATAAATATATGAATAACTCATTATTTAATGATAATATTAAAAACATTGAAATCCCAGGGTCGTCATGCAGCAGTGCAGAACTGAGAGTGCAACCAGTCGCTTTCTTTAAGTCTTTCAATAAGCTGTTTCTCTCATTGTGTTGTGCCTTTTTCTGTTCAGGTTTGTTCTTGGAGGCTGCTTAAACAGTTAAGGGAAAAAGCCTTTTGTGCCTTAAATAATGTAAATACAAGTTTGCTCTCCGGGGTTTGATAACCTCTGCTGATGTAAAACAGAAGCAATACAGCAGCATCATTCATAGGTTTTCAAAGTGGGGGCTGAGTGACTAGAATATTAGACCTTTGTTAGTTATTACATTAGTCTTCAAAAGGAGATCGGGTAGAAGAACCTAAGTGTGTGTTATTTAGTGAAAGAGAGAGTGAAGAGATACAATGATTGGGGGAGATTTTCTTGTTTCCCACTTTCTCAGTCAGAAGCCAGTAAATGCCTTAAGATCGACTGTTCTAATGTGTTTGATTTAATCTGAAGTTACATCAAACCTCAGTATTATGCTACATTTGCTCAACTGAGTGTCTATATGCTTAAATAACATGATCATAATCACAGAGGCATCCAGAAATTTCGCAAAGTGAACTAAAGTGAGTTTGTGCCTTTTGTTGAGCTGAGGAGACGTCCACGGTCTCAGACTTTGAAAACCCCTGATCCACAATATTAAGCAAAGTGTCTTGATTCCAACATCAATACTTAAACCTGAAACCAAACTAGAAATGGCTACAGCTTCTTTGCCACTGCTGCATAAAACGATCAGGGGGAAATGTGCACGTTTGATTTGCCAAAGCCACGTGTGCCTTCACATTGTATATTCACATGTACGTGTTTCTGTTGGAACCACTGAACGGTACTTTTCATTTGTCACGTGTGACATGAGCATGCATGTGATGTGTGTGATTGAGATGCTTTAAAGGACATGGTGTGAGTTAATGGCAGCATTGGTTTACAGTTGATCTGATTTATTATGTTTTGCTGTTTTGGTTAAAAGTTACCCTGACTTGCAGTGATGGAGTCATGTCTGTACCTGTATGATTTAATCCAGTGGTATTGAAGGACTATATTATTTTAAGTTATGTCTAAGAACTGTGCAGTATTACGTTTGCTTCACCCAGCACTGCTTTGAATGGTCTTTTGTATACATGATGTATTATTATCATGTGCTGGACAAAGAAACATTTACTTTAAGACAATCACAAACAAATAAAACCTATTTACATAAACAAATGTAATGCTTTAGGATGCTTTATGTGCTTTACTTGACCTGAAATGTGCTTTTATTCAAGTATAGGTTGTAAATCATTTGTGTATAAACAAGGAAGGATCCAGATGTAGTGACTGGTTTTGTATTATCAGATGAGTGGTATGCATCATTTATATATTTGTGCAATAAAATTGGGTAATAATTTGATACAAAAATGTGTCATGATATTTAAGACGTCTATAATTTTATATTTTTTAAAGTAATCATTTGCACAATTTGTACCAGTCAAAAATCTAAAATAAAACACGCATCAGTCAGTTTTTCAGGGACCTCTTGTATTATCTGGTTACCCTGGACAAAGACACATTATCTTACATTTTTCACTGACATACACTTTTTTCTAAATACTGTTTTATCCTGTTGTAAGATGTAATGGCCTCTGGCCCTGTAGATGAGTAACTACTATAGGTTTTCATTACACAGCATAATTTACTCATTAATAATTCACAAATTAATGGAATAACAACTACCAGACATCCCTGAGTATAAAAAACATAAATGCAAACCTGTAAAAGAATTAAATCAGGGACGCGGCGCCCTAATGTTTGCTGTAAACAAACTAAAACATGGAACAGGAGAGAAAGTGGATTTGCAGGTTCACACTGAGGGAGAATTTCCTCCTGACTCTGGAGCTTGTTTAGAAATAAGTGGGAACATATTCTATTTAACCAAAAACCCATAAAAACCCACGATGCATTTCTTTATTCATCCATTCTGCTGTGAAAACACCGAAGAGCTTTAAATTCAGATTCACTCTCGCTTCTCATCACATGAACGCGGCGTCGACCCCCCCCCCCCTGCACCTTTTCAACCAATCACCGTCGGCTTTACACGCGTCCCCTGTCGCCGATTGGTCGACTCGCCTTGTCACTCGTCGGTTCAGGGCGTGGCCACTGCTGGCAGCTGTCAGACTCAGGAGCTCGAGGCGGTGAAAACACGGAGCAGAGGCGACGTGACGCGTCCGTGGACGAGGCGATGTCCCGGGGGACAGAGGTGAGTCCTCGGCCTCACGTCCAGGTCCCTTCAGACCCGCGTCCTCCCGCCAGATGTGGAGGACAGAGCTCGACCGACGCGGAGTGTCCCTCCCTCCCGTCCCCCGTCCCTCCCCTCCCCCCGCCTGATGTTTTTAGCATGTAGCTAGCTGAAGCTAACGCTCAGCAGCTGTGGTTGTCTGAGGATGTTTCACGAGATAAACACATCAGCTCCACTTTCTCACGATGTCGCCGAGCCGTGTGAATCGGTTGTCAGTGAGTGAAGAGGGTTCGATTCCCTGCGGTGACTCCGCTGACAGTTTGTCCCTTCACAGAGGCGTAACTAAGGGTTCTGGGCGCCCTGACAAAAGCCCCCCTTCGATTAGCCCCGTCAAGTCGCCCCCTGACTTCGAAATCCAAGATGGCCCCTACGTGTATCAACAGTTTTTTATTACTGTGTATTAGTACTACACACAAAGTACTGTGCCATTACTGTTTGTGGGCGTGTTACTACGGTTGGCGTGAAATGCTGCGCAATGCGTTACCTGTTTTTGCTGACAATGGCTAGCTAGCTAGCTAGTGTAAACATTGTTCCTGTGCAACTGGAAATGCCATTAACTAATCAACCCTGGTTTATTTGGGTGTGATGTCGTTCCGAGCTCCGAGGCTCAATGGAACGCAGCATGAAATCGGCTCCATTGGGCGGATCCAGGAAATTCCGAGATAGGGCATTTATTTACGTTTTCATCAGGTTTCTTACTCGGCCACTTTCACGTTTCCTTTTCTTTGGCAATGACAGACAGGACAGTGGAAATATTGACAGAGTTCCTTTTTTTCACCTGCTCCTGCCACTCACTATATGATCTTTCTCCTCTTGTCTTCCTCCGTAGTGCTGATATTGTCCAGCCCATCATCACCATGGAGACCACCAACAGCTATGTGTTGATTCATGGGAAGAACATTTCCCATAACACCATTGCAGGCGCTGCTGGTGGACCCCACATGTCCATCGACAAACTGTTCCCAGCTCTCCTTGAGTGCTTTGGCATCATATTATGTGGCTACATTGCTGGCAGGTAGGTGTATGAGTGTGTGTGTGTGTGTGTAGTTTATTTTAGGGAAATACTGCAGAGAGCACAAACAAGTATTTCTTCCATTGCTGCGTACAGGGCAGATGTCATCACAGAGAACCAGGCGAAGGGTTTGGGGAACTTTGTGTCTAAGTTTGCTCTTCCAGCTCTGCTCTTTAAAAACATGGTGCTGTTGGACTTTGGAGACGTCATCTGGGCTTTTCTCTGGAGCGTCCTGGTCGCTAAGGTTGGCTTCTTTTTTCTTATCTCTGTTTTTGTTCACACTTTTAAAAGTTAAACAGTTTAAATTTAAAAAAAATAAACTTAACACAGCCTCGACTCTCACCCTGTGTGTAGGTGACAGTGTTTGTGCTGGTGTGTGTGCTGACACTGATTGTGGCCAGTCCAGACAACAGGTACAGCAAGGCTGGGCTGTATGCAATCTTTGCCACACAAAGCAATGACTTTGCCTTGGGATACCCCATAGGTGAGGCAGGCAAAAACACATACCACTCAAAAATCATCAGTGAAGCAAAATACTGTTTAAGACTCAAAGTGTTTGTGTCTCTTTCTCTCCCTGTTTTTCTAGTTGATGCTTTGTATCGTAGCACATATCCAGAATACCTCCAGTACATCTATTTAGTCGCCCCAGTCTCCCTCATGCTCCTCAATCCCATCGGCTTTGCTCTTTGTGAGGTGCAGAGATGGAGACAGGCCAGTCATCCACAGCACAGCACTCTAGCCATCCTGGGAGTTGTGGTCTTACAGGTATTGTGTCTACAAGTCGCATGCTTTGAGGTCCAATATCTGCTTTTTTAACCTTATGTTGTTTTTATCACATCTCCCGTTCTCAGAAATGTGAGAAACCTTGTCAGTGAGGCTGCAAAGGCTTTCATTTTTTTGTCACCTCTCCAGGTGTTAAAGAACCCGATAGTGTTTATGGTGATGGTGGGAATCATCTCTCACTTTGCTCTGGGCCAACGTATTCCTGCTGTGTTGTCGGAGTTCATAGATGGCCTGGCCAACTCTTTTGGAGGAGCAGCCTTATTTTACCTCGGCCTCTCTATGGTGAGTTTCATTTAATCCGGTCTTTATATTAAATTATTATACTTAATTTAGTTTCTAACGGTATAGAAACCTATGTAATCATGAAAGAGACACTGGAGAAATATAATCCCTCTGTTCCTGTGGCAGGTTGGTCAACTAAGAAAACTAACCAGAGACACTGGAGTTGCCTTGATTCTCCTCATCACAGCCAAACTGTAAGTGGGACTGGGTTACTATGATATAATTTTGATATGATAAATGTAATGATAAAATGTAACGAACACAGAGGTTGTTCTGTTTTTTTTAGTTGTATCAGTATTTAAAGCTTCAGCTTCACCTTTAATCACTTAACCACTGGTCAGTATTGATGTTTGTATGGTTTTCTCTTGTCTCCAGCCTGGTGATGCCACTGGTCTGTAAAGACATGGTTAATATTCTGGATGTTGGAGTGAACAGTACGAATGCCAACCACACCAGCTTGTCCAACTTTGCTTTCTTATATGGAGTCTTCCCCACTGCACCCAGTGTTGCCATTTATGCTGCACACTACAATATGGAGTTAGAGGTGGTACGTACGGTTGATGTAGTATTCCTACTTTTAACAGTTATTTATAAGAACTTGTTTTATACAAAAAAGTACTGCTGTTGGATCATAAACACTGAATCGATTAATGATCTGCTGCCCTCTTCTAAACATCCAGAACTCTCTAAATTTGGTACAGTTTATTTCCATTTTACCCTTTTAAATCCTATTTGTCTTTTTATATTATCAAACGTTTCTTATATATGTCTGTGTATCTCATGTAAAGTAGTTTGGTGTTGTTATGATTCAGTGAAATTAATCTTTATCTGCCTCACTTAAGCAGCAAAACAATATTTCAATTTGTTGTAGTCACTCATGCACTCTGTTATGTGGAAATCAGAACTAAAAAGAAAAATCCCAGACTTTAAAAAGCTTTGAAACATGACTGATGTTGTGTTAAGACGAGACATTGTCAAGATATGTAGAAATGGCTCCATTGCTCTCTCTCTCTCCATCTTTCTCTGAAGGTAACGTCAGGGATGGTTATAAGCACGTTTCTATCGGCTCCGATCATGTATGTGTCCGCCTGGTTGTTGACCATCCCTCTGATGGACCCGACCCCCCTGGTGACCGAGCTTGAAAACGTTAGCTTCAACATTAGCATCGTCAGCCTCGTAGCACTGGTAAGCGTGTAGCATGGATGTGTCTTGAAGTAACACCACCGTTTGAATGTCCTCCAGTGGGTCAACACTGAAACATTTGTCCCTATTCACTGAAGTCTTTGTGGTGACGCATCATGTGTCTGTGTCTTCTCTCAGGTGTGGACCATAGCGGTGATGCTGCTCAGCAGGAAATTTAACAGACTTCCTCACCTCTTTGCCTTAAATCTGTTCCTGGCTCAGGTCAGTGTCCAGTCACAAGGTCATGTGATTTAAAAACAGCTAGTTTATTTAAAGTCCTCAGCAGTTACCTGATATTTGTTATATGATATGTTGAGGTCGTTTTTCTCCCTCGTCATATATCAGGAGTAAATGTTGAGCACTCAGTGAACATGCTACTCATGTTCACGTTCCTAATCTATCTTGACCCACTGCACCGTTCTCTGCTTTAGTTTTTGGTGTGTGTCAGTATGATCCTGTGGAACTTCTTGGTGAAACAAGACGACAATCTGGTCGGCAAAATTCTCACCTTCACTCTGCTGTATGGCTCTCTGTACAGCACCTACGTCTGGACAGGTGAGTGAGCGCAGTTAACAAATCAATTTTCATCAGTTAGACAGCATTTGACCTAAGACTGAAACAAACTGTGTGCACTGGTGCTAGCATGTGTGTGTTTTGTTTTTCAGGCCTGATCCCTCTGTGTCTGGCTCTGACTAACAGAGATGATCTGCTGAGACTCCGACCAGGAGTGTTCATGGCGTTGGGTTGGGGGTGAGTCAGCTAAAAAACAAAGACAGTTAATACACTGGACTTCCACGTTCTGTAGAAGGAACTAATGGAATCATGTTTAAACAAGAACTGGAACTAATCAGCCAAATCATGTTAATGTGTAAAAGGCGGCTGGTGAACTTGGTGCGTGTTCATCTGGTTGTGTTTTTTTATTTCCTGTGTATCTCTCTCTAGCATTGTCCTGATAGCTGGAATTGCACATTTGCATGAAAGTCGGTTATGTTGTGTCCCAAGTATAAAACTGGGATTATAGTTGTTATGAAGAGTGCATGGACACACCCATCACCAAGAGTTAACAAGAGTTAATGCATCGCAATGATGAGCTTGTTTTGAATTCTCTCTCTGTGTGTGTGTGTGTGTGTGTGTCTCTCTCTCTCTAGGGTCCCCTTCCTCATGGTCGGAGCTCTTCTGATATTAGGAGAACGGACTGAAACCATGGACTCTGCTTTCTTTTATGGCAGAGCTCAGGTTAGATTTTCAAAAAGACATTGTTTTTAACCCTGTTCAGTTTATTTTTTTACTCTCGGCTCTGCTCGGCTCAAGTCTATTTATTTCATATTGAAAAACCTATCATAAATAATTTCTTATAAACCAAAGTAATATAATATGTGTAATGCCGTCTTCTCCTCTAGATAATCAGCACAGCGGTGGTGCTCTCTGTCAGCCTGGTGCTTGGAGCAGTATCTCTGATGGGGCTCAGCCAGGGAGACCGGGAGCAGGGAGGTTATGAGGCCCTGAGCAGAGCTGCATTAACTGGACCTAATGATGAGCTGAGGACCCCTGGTGGCTTGGAGGATGCACAACAACAGACACAGATTCCAAATTCCCCCATAGGCAGCATCAACTCAGGTAACTGTGTTCTGTCTGTCAGTTAACATTTAAACCAATAACAGAGCTTTTTAAATAAGTTGAAATGAGCCCATAACTTTACACATTCAGTACTCAACAGAGGAGCTACAGTAAACATTTGTACGGTGTCTTTTCTGTTGTCAGACCTCCACGGCTTCTCTCCTGTTCAGGCCATACCTGACATGATAGCTAGCACGCAAAGGGAGCACACAAACAACACAGGTATCAAACACACACTTTATATCATACTGTATGATATATATATATATATATTGTATCATACATTCATAATTTGCTTTTGCTAAGAATACTGGAATTTCAGAAAATATGTAAAAGTAAACAATTGCTCCAGTCGCCCTGGAATTTGTTGAGTGGTAATTTTCCTTTTCCTCTCCAGACCACAGCGGGGTGACATGTGACAGGCTGCAGCCTTCCTCCTCAGAGCAGCCGCTAAACCTGCCGCCACCCGGGCTTCAACCCACCGATGATAAACAGACAGTCAGACATGTTCTGCTCTGTCTGCTGCTCATTGTCAGCCTGCTAGCGGTGAGGATTAATAGTTAGTGTGTGTGTGTTTGATACAGAGATGGAGATATTACTTATTGTTCTCTGTCTTTATGTAGAACCTGTCCAGCTGTCTCTGGTGGCTGTTTAACAAAGATCCAGGGAGACTTTACCTCGAGCTCCAGTTCTTCTGTGCTGTGGCGAACTATGGACAGGTACCAGTGTGCGTGCACATGCGTGTGTGTACATTATATGAGCTGCTGTGAATTTCTCGTTTCTCTCTTTCTCTGTGTCTCAGGGTTTCCTGTCCTTTGGGATCTTCGGTCTGGACAGACACCTCATCATTTTGCCGTTCAAGAAGAGGTGAGTCCTTAACGACTCATTCGTCATGTTTTCCAGATTCCGCTGAACTAATATTCAAATTGGATTCACAGCCCAGGAGTAATGCTTGTGTTTGTGTGTGTGTTAGGTTGCGTAGCCTGTGGCAGGGCAGAGACGCTGATGACTTGAGTCCTTCAGGTGTTCCAGAGGAGGTCAGACTCACCTGCACCCAGTTCGTCCGCTACCACAAAGACCAGTGTGTCCAAGACATAGTACACACCTGCAGGTATGAGCACTACTTTGTTTTTGATTGTGTATGTCATACAGTACATTTTGAAAGCACGTATAAATATGAGTTCAGATTGCTTCCTGTTACTTTGTTAAATTCTGTTGAAAGTCAACTCCAGCTTTGTTTCTCTCCTGATCTAAACTGTTAAGCTGATTCCCTGGGGGATTTATTCTGAACCTGTTCATTTCCACATTAGTGTTTTCATTTTGTTGGATTATTTTTCTCTGCATCTCCTTCGCATGTTATCTACTGGAACGGTGGATAGTTTTTATTTCTTTTCTATCCATCAAACAGCTCTTTTCCTCGAAACAGATTGAGCCATGAGACATGTACACTGTATGTTGTCCTTTTCAACATAATGTAGAAACATCTGTGACTCCTGCTGTTGCTACACAGATACTGGGCTGATTTTAATTTTTGCGGGTCTCCTCCCAGCTTGGCCGAGGTCTTTCTGTGTGGAGTTTGCATGTTCTCCCCGTGTCCGAGTAGCTTCTCACCGGCTTCCTGCCACTGACCAAACACAGACAGACTGGGGTTCGATTAAGACTCTAAATTAACTGTGAATGTGACAAATTGTGCCACTGACCATACTTAATGAAACCTGACAACCATAATACGAACACTTTAGTGTTTTCACCTTTTCAAAAGTTGTTTATTACTGAGCGTTAAGTTTTTAGATGTAAAATTTTGTAATTTTACAACAAAAACTACTAACTAAAATACTTGCTGCTGGATTTTTGAGTCTTGGGTACTTTTCTTTGCTTTTTCTTCTAACACATGAAATTCTCTCCACTATTCTTTATCCTCTTTATTTCCTTCCCTTCATATTTCCTCCCTGCTTCCGTTTGCCTGCCCGTTTCCTCTCCTCTTCATCGCCCCCTAGTGGCTCAGGGGAGAGTGTGAGTGCCTCGACAGGTGAATCCTTCCTCTGATAATGACAGGTTTGGTGGAGGAAGACGGCTGGAGGAGGAGGAGGATGCGGTTCGGAGACCCTCCCCCTCCCATCAGCCCCTGCACACACATCAGGATCTTCACCAGATTCACCAAAATCACGATCCAGCTGAATCCTGCGGCCAATATTCACTTCCATCCCACTCCAGGCTTAAGCTGGAGCCTGAACACCAAACTAATATCCCTAACCCTGATATCCCAGAGGAGCAGATTCCACAGCTCCCGTCTAACCAAGCTTACGACCCAGCCAATCCTCAACACCAGCATGTTCCTGCTTCCAACACATCCTGTCCACAGTCCCGTCCTGAAAGTGTTTTTCGGGGCAGCGACTTGGTGGACTGGCTGGTTGAGAGGGGCCTGTGCGCGGGGCGAGCTGAGGCCCAACTGTACGGCGAAAGACTTCAGCGGGGAGGAGTGTTAGATCACCTGAGGGGTCGGCACAGCTTCAGGGACGAAGTTACACTGTTGTACCACTTCACACACGAGAGAGGGGAGGGGCGGTCACAGGACACGTGAGAGGAAGAGAGTGGAAAGGTGGAAGAGGCAGAGGAAGAATGGGCCTGGTGGTGGCGAGCAGCAACCATCATGGATAAAAGCTCTGTACGATGTGGTTTTTCCTATAATCACCAAATGCTGAATTTGGAAATGAGACAAAAATGTCCTTTTCCTCCGCAACAGTCTCTAACATGTGATTGTGGCCACTCTGATACGTTTAAAGATCATATCAGATGGTACATTACAGTGCATGTTTTTTTGAGGCTTTTCTCAGTGGTTGCTGTTTGCTCGTCTCCTCAGGCTTCACCCTTTGTGGCCCGAATGAGGAAAATCTCAAGCTCCGACAACTCAGAGACATTTAAATGTTCGTTTCAGAGTTTGTTTTTTTGTCTGCTGCTCCGGCCTGGGCTGGACCTGATAACAGCTTTCTGATTTAAGCTGCCCTAAATCTAATCATTGTCCAGAAAAGTGATTTGTCATCTCTTTTGTCTGGATTTCTAAGAGCCAATGAAAGTTTTCAGTATGTGAAGTACGAATAAGCTTTTTCTTTTTTTTTCTTTTAAGGGACAAGTTGCCATTCGTCAGCCTCTTGTCCTGATATGTTATCATTTGTGATGTGTGGGGGCCAGTTGTGAGAAGACGATGAGAGCAGTAAACTGTTGTTCCCGCTGCTCTCTGAGAGCCAGTTGTTTTCTTACCTTCCTGTTCTTCTTCATCATCGCCATGTTTTTTTCCCTCTTGGATGAGCTCATCCTGGATCTGCCTGTTATTTCAGTATTTGATATTTTGCACGTTGTGTCTTTTAAGACTCCGGTCTGTGTCGACTACTTGCATGACTGAGAGCAGAACAGACGTCTGCTCAGCACTGAAACATTTGCACTGACTGACTAATAATGTTCGTCATGTTTTTAAATGATGCAACTCATCGGATATCTACCTTGTGATGATGCTGCACATGATTTTTTTTTCTCTTATCTTTGTTGTTGTGTCAAAAATAATCTGGGCCCAGTTATGACCTTGTTGATAAATGTATTAATTCAGCCAAAATTAGAGTAGGTGCTTTTCTTTGTCCCAAATGTGGCACCGTAGCTTGATTTAATAATTCAGACTAGGCCAAACCTGAACTCAACTTTGTCACTAAGTTGAATCTATGGGATAAAAACCTTGAGAAGACTTTAACCTTCGATGTTTTCATGAATCCGAACTTCTTACTCGTCCTGACACAGCCACAATTACAATCCTCTAGGTGTAACAATCTGTCTTATTGTACATTGTTCACATAATCACTACAGATTTCTTTTATCATTTATGTAGCTTGTACTGATCGACTGGCAGCGTTAACGTCACTACACCTATTATTTGCCTGATAAGTTGCTGTTGAGTTGTGTTTTACTATGAAGTTGACTTTGAATGTTTTGTCAGGGTGACAGAAGGTGGATAAATGAGAGCTTCAACTAGATCCAGAGTAAAGCCCGACTGATATGTGCAGAATAAACAATGCAGAAAGATGTGCATTTATATTTGTGTTTTACAGATTTTCTTTTATTAACTCAAATATTATGTATTTGTGTTTTTATTTTTAGTTATTTATGATAAAGATCATGATTAAAGTCTGACTCAATTTCATTTCTCCCTTTATTTGTTACTCCCACAAATTCATATCGGTCGTTGGACGTTACATTTCAAAATCCCCTTTCCTACGGGAATGAGAGAATCCTCCAATCGAGCTAACGTCACACTAATGGTGGCAGGTTCCGACAAAGATTTGTCATTTTAATGACATTGATTACAACAGCCTTTATAGCATGATTACAGTAGGCAGATGATTCTCCAGCGCTGACGCAGCCCTGTGACGATGCATCGAGCTATGCAACTCCAGGCGACCCCTGAACTTTCACCAGGAGCATAACGTCCAAAGAGAGGATATTCCAAACTTCTCAAAAACGTGTATGCCTCCATATACTTCCATCTTTGTGTCTTCTGCCAACCGACTCATGGAATTCAAGTCAGGTCCTTGTGTTTACTGAGTTGTTACAAATGAGATTTCACGACAGAGTGCCTGCCTCAGCCAGCGTGAAGGTGTGTGTCTGTGTGCATGAACAACAATGGGTGAGGAAATAGTGAGAGGGGACAAGGAGAGATGTTAATGGGGCGTGACCGTGTGTTGTAACTGTGTATCTGTGGATGTTGTCAGCGTCAGTGACTGTGACCAAACGGCACAAATAAAAAAACTTTGCATCCAAAATCCTGCGTTTCTTTTTCATTTCACGAGCAGCTGCCATTTCAGACTATTGATTCTAAACTGAACGATGCCTGAGCAAAAGCAAACCACAGATTATATTATATTTTTTAAATGTAGTCCGAAAAACACGGCATTATAAACAGTATGTTGGAACAATGACCTGGTGCACAACGTTCCCTGGAGATCTGCATGTGAGCATGTGAAGCCACCAACAAACCAGGCAAAGTAAAGAAGTAGAAGAATCCACCTATCGGAGCTTTCTTGTATATAGAAGGACACATGCAGCCTCTGAACTGAGACACAGCTGTTGGTAATTTTTCATCACATGGCTACCGACCATCTTGTTTTTGAGATCTGAACAACAATGTGGTCCAAAACTTTAGCATCGGCCTGAGCTGAGCAGTGGAGACGCTTGGTTCGTAAGTTTGTTTTGCATGTTTCTTCTTTGTGGATGAGTTTTTATCTTTTGTTGTTGCACAACTGTGAAGGTTTGTAAGCAGTTGCTGAGGCTCTATTCTGTCACATGTAGCTCCAAACAAATGTTTGCATTTCTGCGGTTTCACAGAGAATTGGAAAAACAATGTAGAAGAGCAGCTGTGTTTCCGTAGCGCACCTCGTTGTCACTGTGCCACAGTGAAGGTCAAGTTGACAGCCTGACCCTGGAGGAGGAATTTGCGGCACTCAGCCTCTCAAATGTTGCGTCTGCTGTTTAATCTCAGGGTCGTCTCCATAAATAACACTCACCGTGAAGGCTGGATCCTCCCAGAGATCTGTGCAGACGCAACGTGACGTTACGTAGAATACAAGTCTTTAACTTTTGGATCACACTTTGATATCCACGCACCTGCTGCTGCACCGTGGTTATGAAAAAATACAGCAATTTATTTAACTCAGCCGTCGCAGTGGACAAACAGTACAAACAGTGGATGTTGCGCTTTTTCACATTTACAAAACACCAGAACAACCGAGCTCACAGAGCGACATGACGTAACTCTGATGTCCAAAATTCAACATTGACATTTTACTAAAGATCATCTCAAAATAAGCTTCATCTAATGAGGTCTCTAAAAAAATACAGCAGATGATCCAGATCTGTAAAGTCAAGGACGTATGATACAAACTGTCCCTTTCCGCTCAACATTTTCACTAAAATGTATAAATAAATTGCTCAATATGCTTTAATTTTCTATAAAAAGTTATAATTTAAGACTATTTTCTACAGAAACTCTGAAACACTGACTTAAAAATATAAAGTACATCTCCAGTCTAATTCAATCAAACAATAAATTAGTTACAAAGACAAAGTGCCTCAAATTCACAGACGCAAAAGATGGGATCTTCTCAAGATGTCTCCAAATTGTACGGGTTGCAGTAAAGGTCAAAAACCATTACTCTGGATTTTAACACTTTTCACTGCATCATAGAAACATTCAGAAAATAAAACCTTCAGGCCAAAGAGACGATCATGAGAAGATCACAACTGTGCTGCAGAGAGCAACTGTAAAACTCATCTGCAGTCACAGCGACATTAAGACACGACAGTAAGTGCTTTGAGAAAAACACTGAGACAATCAAAATATACCAAAACAACCGGCAGGGGAAGTTTAAGGTCGACTACAAACTGAGTGAACCTTTTTTTAAAGCCTAAGAGTCTGGTGTCATCAGATTTTACATTTAAAAAGGTCAAAGGTCGGCGAGGATATCCAGGTGGGGCTTCCTGTGCAGATCGACGCTTTATTTATTTTATATTTATGACCTGTAAATAAATACAGACCGTTTAAAGTATATATTTGTGAATAACATCCTGATGAAGAGAATCAAAGTGATTTCTCGTTTTAAAGCTGCACATTCGCCACTTTACCCTCGACACAAACTCCTGAGTCCTCTCCAAAGCAACGCCAGCACCGTTTAAGACTTTTTTTTTTTTTGTAAATCAAAGGATATTCATGTTACATATCAATGTTACAGACGTGCACTGATATTCTCCTGAACTTATCTGGAGCGGCTGCAGGTGAGAACCCCAAAACGTCCAAGTCCGTTACTCTGGACGTTCACTGAGGTTTTTCCTGCCAGGTAAATTGGCAAAAGGAGTCCATGTGAGAACACAAAAGAAAAAATGTCTGGAAAGGTCACAGCTGTGGAGATGGCGTGTTGACGGTGCCCGCCAGCGGAGAGCTTCTTCCCCACCTCGATCCCGATGACAGGTAAAGTGAGGTTCTCCGTCATCGCCTCTTCCGCTTGATTTCCTCCTGACTGGTTCCGTTGCTGTCCATGCCGTCCACCTTGAGGTGACCTTCGCTGTAGCGTTTGATCAGCGCTCCAGGGATGAGAGCCATGAGGGCGATGGCGAGGAGCTGGGCCAGCGTGCTCCAGGAGAAGATGTCGTCCAGGGAGGAGATCTCCGAGAGCATGGAGCCCGTACGAACGCAGATGAAGTTGTAGGGAATCAAACCTGGAGGCGAGAGCAGCAGCAGAGTCATCGATACGTTTGGATCTTTGTATCGAGGTTTTTTTTTTTTTAATGAGTGTGTGGTCTCACCTATGAGCACAGAGAAGAAGAAAATGGGCATTGGGATGTTGAGGACAGGACAGGTGATGTTAAGGAACCAGTTAGGAGTCATGGGGAAGAAACGGAGGAAAAGTAGGAAGAAGAATAGACCACTTCGATTTTCCTCCACCTGACGGAGGGAGGGCAGAGAGATGAGAAGAAGACAAAGTGATGGAGAGAGAAATATGGAAAAACAATGGAGAGAAAGGAGGTGACAGAGGACAGGAAGATGAGCGTATATTTACATCCACTGTAAAGCTAAAGGACAGTCGTACCTTCCTGTGCAGCAGCGCCACCCTGTCGGGGAAGAAGTGAAGCACGTGCTGCTTTCCAAACGCAGCGGAGAGCAGGAAGCAGAACGTGGAGCCTAAAGTGGTGAGGAGGCAGGCGAGGACCAGACCCTCCCACGGCCCGAATATGGCACCGGCCAACATGTTCTGCAGGAGGAATGGAGGGAGCAATAATTAAACCAGATGTGCCACAGAACATTATTTGAATCTGAAAAGAGAATTGTCAGAAAGGGGGCGAATCGGGAAAGAAATCGTGTGCAGCTTTTCTCTCATTCTAACGTCTCACCAGGAAGGAAGAGCCGGGTATGGCGAAGGACTGCTTGTACAGGTAGGCGCTACAGAACAGCAGCAGGACGTAGCCGTGATGTTCTCGTTTATAAAACTTGAGCGTGTCAGCGAGCTCCCGCAGCTCGTCCAGGTCCGACGGGAACTTCAGCCTGGACGGAAACACAAAACACAACCCACCTGAGTTTTCAAGCTATTTCTGAAATTACAACAATTCTTCCAGAATCCTTTACAGGTCCAGATGTGATGGATCATTTTCTTTGGTGGAAAGAAAACAATGAGGTCTGTGGTTTATCCAGAGTGACGGGGACATTTCTGTCTGGAAATTGAAGTTGCACAAAACTCCATTTACTTCCACTGTAATGATTAAACAGCTGAAAGGTCAACGTCTCACACCTCAGCATTTAAAATGCTCTTGAAGTGAAACACTTTGTTGACATGACGAAAAAAATCTGAACAAAAAGAAAGGAGAAAGATTGGATTAGAAAGAAGAGTGTGTGTGTGTGTGTGTGTGTGTGTGTGTGTGTGATTGTGTGTGTGTGGGTGTGTGTGTGTAACAGGATACATTTGATTGAGGGACAGAAATAGAAATGGCGTTGTTGCCTGTAGACTTGAGCCGAGGGTCCGAAGACACTTCTGACACACGCAAGCACCTAAAATCCCCCCTTCTTGAAACTCAAGATGTCGTCCTCCTCCTCCTCCAGCACCTGCTGCAGAATTCCTCCTCCCCACTGGTCACTGGAAAAATATTCTGTTCTGTCACTGGTCGGCAGGTTGATGATGTGTCAGTGCTCGGAAACGTCAAACTGCATGAATGTGTGTGCAGTATTTAAGAAGAGATATCGGAGTGTCATAGGAGGCACTTAAGGTTTTACAACACACACACACACACACACACACATGAAACAGGCATTGAGGTAAGATTTCAATTCAGCACAAATATAAAACTGAGTCAATTAAGTTGAGACAGAAAATCATTGATTTACCTGATTGTATTTCTCTATTTATAACATGTTGGATAAAAGTTTGTGGATGAGAACTTGACGGCCAAATGCAGACGACAAGAAATTCTATAGCTGTAATATATATATATATATATATTGCCATGTTCATTTACAACACACGCACACACACACACACACGCACGCACACGAGACACGAGACTAAGCAAACTTGATGCCAATACATGACATTTCATTGGGTGCAGTCACACTGTGGTTGAATGATTTGATATTTGATATTATAATATATGCATAGGTCGGTGTTATTCTATCGTCCCTTGACAACCTCAGGCCTGAATGTCTGGCACAATGCTAAATACCACACACACACACACACACACACACACACACACACACACACACACACACACCCCCTGGGGAGTAATGTGATCAGTCCAACGTGTACTGAGACGATTGGAGGTAGAGACAAAAACAAGAGAACATTTTGGATGCATTTAATATTTTACTGTTACACTGACAATTCTATTTTGACTATTATAATAATCATTATTATTCCCTTTTGGCTGACTGGTCTAATTATGATTATTTTTTAATTATAATGATTAATCGTTACTATGAGTAAGAATGCTCTTGTAGAAAAATTACTTCCAAACTTGAATTTGATAAGATTCCTAAATTTAGTCAGAACTAATTGAAGAAATCAGTTCCTTGATTCTTTACCTCGTTTCTACTTAACCTGTCAGGACGCCTATCCCAGCATGCACTGGGAAGTAAACAGTGATGATGTGTCTCGCCTCTAATTGTTTCCAGTCTGGATGATGGGGGGGGGGGGGGGGCATGATGGTTTAAAATAGACACGAGGGGTCACAGAATGATTTAAGGTCTGCTGTTTAAAATACGTTTGACCATTTTGGACTTTTCTCTTTTTATTTTGTAGTTTTTGGACTGTGATGACAGAAAATGATGAATAACAGGAGGTCAGGAGAACAGCTGGAACAGCTGGTTGAGTAACTGAAAGAAAATCATTCACTTTTCTTACTTTTCTAATGACGATTTGCTGTTTGGAACGAATATAGTAATTTACACGCTTCAAGTTTCACAGTCTTTTGTCAGGTGCAATTCATGATTTGGATTCAAACTTTAAATCTATTAGTTCCCACAAGTTCACTGAAGGTGAAACCCCCCAAAAATAATCTAATATCATGTTAGACAGAGGAAAACGTTAAATATTCAAATTTATAGAAATCAAACCGTTGATTGAAATATCTTCAATGATAAATAAAGAATCAGAATAGTTGGTAGTTAAATTTTTGTCAATCGACTAATTGGTTAATCGACTGTTGTTGCTGCATTATCCCAAAAATATATATAATTAAAGGAACGACTGGCCTGTGAGTGTGTATATAGATATACAACTTAATGACTCTGTGTGTAAAAATACCACTGTTAATTTATATTTATATAAAATAAAATTCATATTTTATTGTATAGTATAATAAGTGTTCACACAGTTTGTTATTTTCTGTTTTATTATAAATATATTGTTTTCATGTGACAAAGAGACTCAAATAATCTTCAATACTTCACATTTGTGATTCTTTGTTTGGTTTGTTTTTATTTCTTCTTCCTCAGAATAAACTAAGTCAACGATAGAAACTATTTAAACTCATAAACTAAATGTCAGTGAGGTTTTTAAATCTCTGTCCCGGCCGGGGTCCTCCTCACCTGTACTCCCGGACTCCCTGGTCCTCTCCCCGGTCCTCTCCCTGGTCCTCTCCCCGGGCCTCTCCCCGGTCCTCTCCCCGGGCCTCTCCCCGGTCCTCTCCCCGGGCCTCTGGCTGCTGGGGTCCCGGGGGCAGATGAGTCGACAGCAGGTAGAGGAAGACGCTCGCCGCCCCAACGATGGCAGCGAGTCCCGCTATGGAGCGCATGCTTCCCCCCGGCTGTGGCTCCCTGTTCCCCGGATCGACTGCGCAGAGGAGTCGGGGCTGGAGTTAAGAAGAGGACCACCGGGGAATTGGCGGAATGAGGAGGGGAGGGAGGCGGTGTGGTTTACGGAGAAGCGGGCCTCGGATGTCGGGCACGGGCTCAGCTGGACCCCGGTGCTCGGAGGTTTGAGAAAAGACGCTGTTGACACTTGAGCGTCTGTGTCACATGATCTGACACGTGCGTGTCCGCTTCACTGTCTCTGCTCTGGTCAGAACTGTGCACGTGAACTCTCATCTGAACTTTAAACCACTGACACTTATCAAAGCTGCAGGTTTGAAACTTTCTCTGGAGTTTCAACTTTAACAACTTTAATGTGTACTTACACCGACCAGCCAGGAGAGGACGCTGTAGTCAAACACACGTGGAGTTCAGTGGGATTATGAAACAAAACAATAGACTGTGAATGAAAAGAAATGGTTTATTTAAAGCTCATTCTGAGTCACTTGTATTTATATTTAAATATAATGTGAGTTTAAAGTTACTAAACTTGTAACATGTAATAGTTTGATGGAGCCATAAAGTTAAAAAGTACAAAATAAAGGTACATTAAATAACATCCTGGTTAAATCGTTCACATGCAGTAGCTCTTTGATTAAACTTGAACTTACTGTGTTACTTCAGAAACCACTTTACCATTATAATGTATAGACCCATGTACTATCTGCAGTACTTAAAGGTACTTCTAAGTCTCCCTGATGTTTCTGTCTGATGGACCGAAATCTGTAGAGTGCTTAAAACCTTTGCACACTCCTGAATGTACAGTTGATTTTGAGGATTTGTTCAGTGTTTGATTAATTAATGGCAGAATGATCATGTACAGGAAATGTAATGTAATATTTCCAATGTTATAAGTAACCACAGACGGAGTCTTTCTCCTGTCAGTCGTGGTCAGGGTCCGGGAAACTGTGTTTTCCTGCAAAAGAAACATCAAACATTTAGTGAATAAATACTATTAACAGAAAAATGCAGGTTTATTGATTCAGACTAAACTCTGGACCAGATGTTTGGTGACATACTGAGAATATAACATTGTGTAAAAGCTGCATCCCTACAAAGCAGGAAATAGTTAATTAACTCTGACAAGGAGGTTATGCTTTCTGTTTGTTTCAGTTTATTTTGCAGGATTACGCAGAAACTACAAAACTGATTGTTTTACTTGCAGAATTTTACTTTACAGCATATTACACAAACAAACAATAAGTTGACACAGAGACACTGTGTGCTAACTCAATTTGAATCACAAGTGAAGACATGTGTGACTAAGTCTGACCATCAACTCCGTCAGATGTATTGAACGCCCTGTCAGCATCGTCACCTTTCAGGAGCTCCTTCAACATCTCGTCATCTGGAATCACTGACAAGAGGGAGCAACACGGGAGCTGTCAGTGACACATCCAGAGATCTTGGTTGATAAGACAGGTTTAAGTGTGTTTAAGGGGTTCACACACACACACACACACACACACACACACACACACACACACACGTACCTTGATTGTCTGTAGCATCATCGGATACCCCTTTGGGCAGGAACGAAAAGGTAATGAGCAGGATCACAAGGGCAAGGAGCATGATTATGACCTTAGTTTTCATTTTCTGCAGGAGGAAACTCAGGCTTCAGTAAATGCAAACCCCCGTCCGTCAATTTAAGATAAACAAAAGAAAGTTACCAGCCACAGATCAGATAAACGATAGCTCACCTCTCTTGTTAAATGCAGCAGCAGTTGTCTGAACCTGGGTCTGTCACGCTGAGGCTACTGTTTGTGGTGTGTCAGTTGCTGAACAATGGCGTGAAGGGCGTGAGGCACGGTGTGTCTGAAGCATGCAAACAATCCACCCGGTTCAGTTCAAGACAAAGACAAGCCACTGTGCTCGCACGACGTGGATTAACTGGATTGACCACATTCTCTCTAACATGCAAAAGTTTTCTTAAGGTTAAATAAATGACAACGTTAAAGAAAGTGAATCCTCTATCTTAATCGAATCTGCTCCAAAGGTTCGTCCCACATACCTCGTGGAACGATGGCACACGGACGGTCCGCTCCTGTTTACCAGATCTGGGGCCACACATAAGCCACGGCAATTCAGCATGTTAACCAAAGGTAACCTGAATTTGTTTTGAGCTATTTGGCCTGTGTGTGTGTGTGTGTGTGCGTGTGTGTGTGTGTGTGTGTGTGTGTGTGTGTGTGCATATGTCAGAGTCAACCACTTAGATATCCGAGCTCAGGTTTATTCACTCTTCTCTACAGAAGAAAAATATTTAATATTACAGAACATAAAGAAACATCGGTAACCACTGTTCCTAATAAATATACATGAAGGTTGATGTCAAAATTAAACACAGAGTGTTTTCATGTCAGACGATTACAAACCATTTACGTAGAGAGAATACAGAACAGTGCTATTCCGGCTGATAACAGATGTGGGGACAGATGTGCGGGAGAAAACTGGAAAACACTTCTCTACAGTCAAACTAGAAAAGGAATCAGGCTCGTTCTCAAATAACCATAATATTTATGTCAATACGACTCTGATGATCTTTACATTTGAGTTTACCTCTAATCTAAGAAAACCTTAAAGTACTCTGCACCTCTCACAAACAAAGTTCATCAACGCCGAGATTACACTTCGAAACTTCTTGTGCGTGCGTTGTGTGAAAAAGATGAAGGTCATCTGCAGCACCCTCTAGTGGAGGATTGTAAAACAAACAGTGTGTTCGTTGTTTAAAACTAAATGACTATAAAAGTTTGAAGATGGAAATTTGTGTAGATACATATAAACAACATATACACTTACAACACTTCATGATGTTATTGGAAGTTATTGTGGAAGAGTGATTTAATTAAAATGTTCATGTAACTGTCTGTGCCTTTTAAAAATACTTTTTTGAATTCAGTGTAAAAATGCATGAAAAAAAAAAGACTGCGCATCATTTGTTGTGTCTGAAACATTGAGGGTGCAGAAAGGTATTTTCTTTTTTGTGCAAAATGTATTTGTACACCAAGTAGCCGACCTAAAAACGTAATCTTAATAAAATAGTTAAGTTATCAAAGAATTAAAATACGAAGAGGAATTGTCGCAGTTTGAAGGTTGAAACTGAAAACGATCATCATTATTATTTTCTTACATTTTTATAATGTTTAGAAACCACTTTATCTTCTGGTTAGTTTGAATAGACTATACATATAATTTCCTTAAAGACAGTATCATTTTTTCCAAATTCCAGACGTGTATTATGCAGCTTTTAGTCTATTTTATCATCGATTAACAAATTAGCTTAAGGTTCATCTAACTGTACTACTACCGAAAAATGTTTTCGTGAAATAAGCCCTCATGTGTGAAAGAAATAGTTACAAAGGGAAAAATGAATTCTTATTTTGAACTGACTGAAAGTGATCGTGAACGTTACATCAGGAAGGAGGAAATAAAAGAAGAAAAAATGATGGAACGGAAAACAAAAAGGAAAAGAGCGGATAGAGGAGAAGAGAGAGTTAAAAATTTAAAAAAGAGAAAGAGTGATCTAAAGGTGAGGTATCACAATACAACCCAAATAATTATCGACATTTTCACTAAAACTGACAACATCATGACTCTGACGGTTAAAAACCAGACGATACACTGAAGGTCGTGAGTCGACAGGAGGAAGCTGACGGTGGATTAACAGCTGGAAACACTCGATATGTGATGAAACGGATAAATCAACTCAGATCTGTCATCAAACTTCATTCAACAGGGTTTGATGGTGAAAAGATCAGAAAACCAACACGTGACGACAGAACCAGACATTTGACAGCGCAGAGCGCTGCGTTCATTGCATTTCGATTATTATATTTATGGCTACAATGTCCAAGCTAACAGTCTGAGGCTATTAGGCACATCTTTAAACACGGAGACAGAGTCGCACGAGGAATATTCAATAAATCAAACGACAAAAAAACCACAGGACAAACCAACCTGGACGAGTTCTTCTAAAATTACATTTGCATCGTTGTTAAAGCTGAGCCTCAAAGTGACTTCCTGCTTCAGTAACTGGTGATAGATAGTGATGTTGTCTACAGGTCTTAGTGTCTCCAGGGTAACCCGTGGTTCTGCGTCCTCTCACTTTATTCCAACGCGACTCGGAGGTGACGCGGTCGCGGCGGATTTCAGCTCCCGGGCACCGACAGCGGTGAACTGTTGGTTTACGTTTGATTCTACACATGCCGCCTGGATTATGTCTTCCTCCGTCCGGTGTGTCGGACAAAACATTGATGTGTACAAAGTCATGCTGGATCGTTAACAGTTAAATGTTCAGTTAAAGAAAAGCAGGTGGTTGAAATTGAATCGGTAACTAGAAGCTTTGATTCAAGAGTCAAAGACAAACGTTTCAACTCTCACTGAACACCTCACCAAAACTTTTCACTGCCGCTAAAAGTTTTTCTTCGCTGTTTCGTAAATTTGCTCAATTTGAATGTTTTCGACAGGAAATCATTTATATGTTCAATTTAAATCTACTACACAGAACTGTTGCTTTTAAAAAAGACTGGATGACGTACCGGCTCCCCTATAGCAACGCCAAAACATCTCAATCGCCCCCTGGTGGCTGGCTATAGAATAGGTCGTAAACTCCACCGCCCCCATGCTAGCAGATGGATCCCCAATTTTACATCAAATTAATGTTTCACCTACAAATGTACATTTCTACAAAGTTCGGTTTAAATCGATTCATCAACGACATTTTCAGAAGATTCTTCGACATTGAAAACAACAGATTCTTATTCTCTGCATCTGATGAATTCACTTAACCAACATGCGATCATTTTTGCTTTTGCAGCTGCGAAGATGTTTGCAAAGCTGAAAACAACATCCACTCCTCCGGTGAACAGTGCGTTAAGGTCTACAGTTTCATGTGTTGCATCAACCCTCAACTCAACCTCGTCAGGAAGGAGGGTCCGAGCTACATTTTGCTGCTGGGGGGGGGGGGTGTCCAGTTACCGCACTGATATTTAAAGCAGATTCCTTTGACAGGAGCAGTTCCGACAATTGGTACAACAGTGGACGAGAGGAATTAGTTTGGATCGCGTGGTCTCATCACAAAGTCGCTCTCCTAAAGATGCGACCACCTCTAAACACGACAGAGACGAGGAATCAGTGGTGGAGTAAAGAGGCTGTTCTCTAATCATCACCACAGTTTAAATATCCAGACTATCAGAACATGGGGGGGCTCTGTGTGCTTGTGTACACCTTAAACTACACTAACCACACTGATACTGTTCACACTCTTTCTCCGACAAAGACTCTACAAAGTCAGCTTCACTTTAATCCACAGAGAACGATGGTTAAAATGTTTTGTAGCAGGAATTCAGCTTAAAATCCAAACATGACATGTGACCGTTCTAATAATAACAACGATAAAAACCGTTAACAGTCCAAAAAGTTTTAAAAGTCCGACAGCGCATTTAGGTCACGTTGAAGAAAAAAAGATTTTTCCAACAAAGTCGTTATTTAAGGAGAAATATTGCAAGAATGAAGTCGTAACTGAGAAGAAATATCAGGAAGAAATATGTATATCATCATGTGGAATATGAGGTACTAAATTTTATCTTTAAGAATAAAGTGGCAATGTTACAAGGAAAAAGTTTAATCCGAACCAAGTCGTAGTATAACGAGACACATTTTTCATTTGAGGAGTAGAAGAATCCATTCTCGTGGGAATTTCAATGCTTCTGGATCGAAAAGTCCTCATTTAAAAAAAGGCTGATCTTCTGATATGAACCCTCTAGAATCACACGAGCCTCAGATTAGACTTTATTCTCGTAAAATTACGTTTATTACGACTTTAGTTTCATAATATTACGACTTTATTCTTGTAAAAAATAACTATTTTCTCATAATGTTGCTTTTTTATTCTCCAAATCTCTTTTTTTTCCTTCAACATGGCTCTTATATACTTTATATTAACTTAAAATAAAACTAGAAACTACACAATAGTGTTTTAACAGATGGAGAAATTGTCCAAATCAGCATCACTGGGATGAAGTTTGAGCCGTTTCAGAAACTGTTCAACACGATAACATGTGAGTTTTTGTCCAGGAACAAACTGCAGGTTGAAGACTGGAGTCCCGGCTGAGTCAGTCCACTGAGACGCTGACGTTCAGCCTCATCAGGTGTTAGCAACTGTGTGGCAGATGTGTGCATCTCATTAGTGTCCATTGTTTGGTGTCACAGCTGCTCCTGTAACTGCCATTTTGTGCCTCACACCACAAGTGTTGTTGTTGCTTCAACCGGGGACAAGCACCAGCGCAGGTGAAAGAAACAAATCAAGCGTCCTACAAGATGTGGCTCGCCCCCGGTTGCTGGGAGCCGCCATCGTCCCCCCTGTGTGACTGGTGTTTATAAAGGTCACACGGCATGAGGGGGAGCGGGTGTCCCTGCTCGGCCAGCACAGACTCATATGGCGGCGCTGCCTCCAGGGGGAAGGAGATGGATGCGATGTGTTGATGCTCCTGAAGTCCCAGCGGGTAGTTGGAGGGGGAGAACCAGCCAGCGCTGGCTGAGGTCTCTCCGCAGTACGGAGAAGGATCCGGGCTGGTGCGGCCGGGCTGCTCCTCCTGCTCTGGCCCTCGCTGGCAGGGGTCAAACAGGGAGTAAGGGGGAGGGTCATCTGTGGGGATGTAGATCTGAGTCAAGCCAGGGCCGACGCACTCGTCGTAACTAGAGAAGTGAAAACAAAAATGAAATGATTATTGCTATGAATTGAATATGAATGCACTTTGGGTTCTTTGTTTCCTGTTTTATTTTGAAGCTTCTGTCCTTGTGTGGCTTTACTTCCTGTCTTTGTCTTGTGATTGTTTCTAATGTGTTTCACCTGTTTTCCATTAATCTTCCTCCTCATATAGTCTCTGTGTTTCTCTTTGTCTTCATCACTTTGTCTCTGTGTCTCCTTCATGTGTCTTGTTCTGTTGCCTGAGTTTTCCCCTTGATGGTTGATTTACTGCTTTACGTCGAATGAGAGACTTTTGTTGATCGAGTCCTCTTGTCACCTGCGGTCGTTTCCTGATTTAAATGTAACAGATGCTTTTCAAACTCAAACCTCATTTCTCATAAATCCTGTTTGTCACTTCAAGAAGCAACAAAGACTCAGGATTTATCGTGGTAGCAGACGTGACGTAATGAAGAGAATGCAAAGGTCCAGTGAGGGAAAAGATGAGGCTGCTGGAAATATCAAAACTTTCCTCAGAAATTTAAAATGAACTCAATATAACCTAAATAATGTATTAACTTACAATATGACAAAAAAAGTAACCCTGTCTGGCCTGAACATTTCCAGCAACACGAAAGATAAGTGTGTGTGCAAACCTCTGCAGCAACAAAATGAAGGAGAAATCTTTAATATTGGTGGATAAAGTAAAATGAACCTTCACGAGCTCCGTTTGTATGTTTGTTTGAGACTATTACATTTTGGTACGGCTCTGGGAACAGGTTAATTTCTGAGGGACAAATTCAAAGATGATGAAAAAACTCATATTGGGAGCTGAGATCCACGAGGGTGTGTACATCTACTACAGCAATATACCAAAGCAAACATGAGATACTGTTTGTTTTAAATATAAATACATGCATCACCATCAACACACATTCTAACCTACGGGGCATCAGTGACATAATACGCGAACCTTAACCCTCAAACAGCTCAGTGGAAAAGTGAGGACCGTTCAAAATGTCCTCACTCTGTCGGGTCTATTCTTACAATGGTCCTCACAAAGACATAAGTACAGGGAGACACACACACACAGCCTCCGTCCTCCTTCCTGCTGTGTTGGCAGATTCCCAACACACTTCCCTGATGAACTCCTCCAGCAGCCCCAGAGGTCAGGCTTCTAACAGCCTCCTCCTCCTCCAGCAGAAAGGAGCGAGAGAATTTATATATATATATATATAGAAAACACGAAATCCAATAAAAAACAGAATTATAAAATAATGGTGGATGATGATAGCGGCACAGGAAGCAGAAAATCAAGAGTAACTCAATCAGAGCAGTGGTTAACTCTATCAGTCTGCTGCTGCTGTGTGTGTGTGTGTGTGTGTGTGTGTGTGTGTGTGTGTTGAGTTGAGGTGTTGCTTCTTCCTCCATTACTTCTCTTACATCTTTTTTTTTTCTTGTGCACTCTCTCCATCTCCTTCACTACCCTGTGTGAGTGCGTGCGCTCATGCGGCAGCATTTTTTTAAAGTTAATGTTAGAGTTTGAATGTGTGTGTGTGTGTGTGTAGTTTTTTGTTAAGTGTGTGTGTAGGAGAGAGATGGGAGAGACGAGGGTGGGGGGGGCTGGGGAGAGGAATCTATTTTTGCCTTGAACTGAGGACGAGGCTCAGTCAGAATGATCTAATGTCCGCTGCTCGTCGTCTCACACACAAACACACACACTTCAAACATTGCTGAAAGGATATAGTTCTTGAAGTGTGACCCTGTGCATCAGCGACACAGTATAAATCAGTTTAATTACATGTTTCAATTAATCATAAAACAGTTATCATTATCCACAGTGAAGCCAAATCAAGACAAGTATCAACCCTGTGATATGTTTCACGTCACGTTTTCATCTGCGTTTGTTTTGTTTCCTGAGGGAACTGTTGGGCCTTGGCGGAGCCATGCACGCTACTGAGTTCATGCTAGTTTTAATTTTAAATAATGTCTCTTCACCCTCACACACCGACCGAACCACCGGGGGCAGCTTCAAACAGCTGATTGTTTTTCTTCATGCTTTGGGGAAACTGACCTCAAACGCTGGCGTCAATGAGGCGCGTCGAGGTGAAAATTGGAGACGAGGGTGTTTCAGAGGTGTTGTAACACACTGCTAATCCCCGGGTCCTCGCCCTCTCAGGAGTCGCAAGCTCCTCCGCTCCCTTGAGGACTTCTGCCATATGTGTCTGCAAAACCGTCGCACTGGGTTGTGTTTTAAAAGTGCGTGTGAATTAGCTTGTTGTGGCTGAGTAAAAGTAATTTGTCCCCTTTGAGACACATGGTGGACACGCTCAGGAGCTGGAGCTTGTCTCTTAGTGGTTTCTGTGCTTGTCCGCATGTTTGGTCATGACAGAGAGGGATAAAGTAGAAGTCAGATACACGCAGGTCAGGAGAAAAGGAGGACCTCTGGCTTGTGTTCATGCTTTGGTTGTGACGCTCGACAAAGCTGAACAACTCTAGCTGCAGCATATGGTCCTCTGTGTGTGTGTGTGTGTGTGTGTGTGTGTAAAGCTGGCATGTCCCTGTTCTCTCGCCTGTGGAGTAAGAACCATATAGATGCTGCATTCACAGGTGTGTGTGTGTGAGTGTGCACTATGTGGCTCATGCCAAAGCTGATCTGATTCCTCAGCTTAAAACATCTCCCAACATGAATTCTCCATTTTGACTCTACAACAGTTCAAAGAAGGTTTTAGACGAGGTTTGACCGGATTAGATGACGACTGGCTCCAGAATAAAAAGTCTCGTGTCTCCTGTATCTGTAAATCTGACCGTGTTCATTTCCCTGCGCTCCATCTCTCCCCACCACCTGTCCACGGCAACATTTCAGTCATTCTACAAGACGACAGGACAACAAGTGGACGGAAGAGATCAGTGTTGTTGTCGACATTCTATTATTGAGCTTCTATCACTGCTCTCACCTTCTCTCAGCTTCTCCATCTTTCACTGTCACATGTGCTGCGAGGAGCTGATCCTCGCTCTCAGACGTAATCCTCTCTCCAGAGCTAATGTATTGTCACAGTGTGGACGAGACGTGACGTGTGAGAACGGCCTCTCATAAAGATTGAATGTAAAAAAAATTATATTGCTAGTTCAATGCAAGACGCCCGACCAAAGGACAGGAAGTACAGGAAGAAATGTCAAAGAAGAATTGACCGTCCACATGTCAAGATGCATTTAATGGCATCAGAGATCACACGTGTTATAATAAAGTATTATATTATCACAACCTCACAACTCTACACTCTGTGCTGCCTTTCAGTCGATGCATTGCTTAACAACATGCCAACGTAAAGCACGTTTGAAATATAAAATATATATATGATGTATTTATATATATATTATTATATGATGTGTTTACAGCTTGTTTTACTGCCCTAGAGTGGCTGAGAATCAGTTCCCATCATGGATATAAATAAAACCCTGTAGTTGTCGATGCACATTTTTCTAAACTTTGTGAGCTTATATTCTAAGACAGGACATTAGTGTGTGTGTGTGTGTGTGTGTGTGTGTGTGTGTGTGTGTGTTTGCCCATGCAGCTTCTCCCTGAGAGGAAGCAGAAGCTTTCAGTCTCCGCAGGTGAGATGCTGATCCGCGAGTGTGAGTTTTTCACGGATATAGAGTGTGTGTGTGTGTGTGTGTGTGTGTGTTTGGTGTGTGTGTGTGCGTGTGTTTGTTGGTGTCGGAAGTGTAACATTCACAGTCTCAGTAGGTGAGTTGTTGATCTGAGTTCTCCGAGTTTCCCTCAACCATCTGTGGCCCACACACACACACACACACACACACACACACACACACACACGTACACACGTACACACACTGCAGGATCGTCACATGACTGCGTCGACCTGCTTGCTGATCGGACTCCGAACCTCTTGCCAGCATTATGTTAAACACAATAGGTAGTTTGTATGTATATTGTCGTCCTGTATGTGAGTGTGTGTTTGTGTTGGCTGCCGTCCCATCCTCCAGGCCAAAGACTCCGGCTCTCACACAGGCTGTCCAGAACACTGTGGTTTCCTGCCAGAGCTCTGACGTACATCGCTAGCTCCCCTCCCTCCCTCACCTTATCTCCTTCTTTCCTTTCCTTATTCCTCCTCCCTCCCTGTCGTAACTCTCTTGTTTACAGTTCCACGCCCTTGTTTTTTCTGCTGAAGCTGAAGCGAGAACAAACAGTGTGTTTTGGTTTCTGTCCGGCTCATCAGCATGTTGATTTATGGATTCATCAGAAGTCAGGTGGTAGCCGTGATCGCAGATGGGAACATCTTCTTGGCACCTGAGCATCATTTAAACACCTCGACAAACCAAACACCAGGCGTGTCCCTCCCAGCATGATGCATTTCCCCAGTAGGATCGGTTATTTTATCCGTGTTGCAGGATAACGAAGCAACAACATGACGGGAGCTTCGGTTTTCTCCCCAGATCACAGCTGCAGCCCCAAAAATCTGCAAGAACTGAGTGATATACTGGGAATCATCATGAATCCAGGTCTTTAAAACACACAAAGAAAATCAATCACTCTGTTGGCAGTTATGGCCGTAGACTGTATAAACTGTATTCTCTCAAATGACCTGCAGAGGGCGACTCCGCTGGTCAGTTTCTATAGAAGTCGATGAGAAATGCAATGGGTTAATTAAACTTGAAAAAGTTTAACATCTCAACATCCACAGTCGCGGATTAAAACAAACATTAACTCACATTTTCTTTTGCTAATTTTCAGAAAATTGTCTTTAGAGCGTTAAGAAACATTGACAAGCACAAACGTCTGCGAGAGAACAACTGAAGGAGAATCTGAACCTGATGAAACTGTTTGGTGTTAAACTGAGTCACTCTGAATACAAATGAATCAACTGTTCTGTTTCCACTTGTACCGATGAGGCAGAACGTTTTTCTCACTGTGATTTTCATCTCTGACTAAATTCTTTTCCATTGCGATGACGACTGAAGCTCAAACTTACCACAGCAGTTAGACCCATCTGCCACAACAAACTGGTGGAAGTTGAAATAATTCAATTCATTGGTTATTACTTTTAATTATCCATGGGACTGTTGGTTCATCAATATAAGACTGTGGGAATTTACGAAGGGGGGGAAATACGCTTTAGGATTCAGTGGATGCTCCAATTACAGAACATCTTAAAACCATCATAGTGATGCTGTAAGTTCATAAGTTCATAAATTCAAAGTGTGACCAGGAGCTTTCGTCTGATGAAGAAATGAATGATCTCTTTAATGAGCAAATTATTAAATAAAATGGAAAATATAAGATATTTCCTGTCAATCGATTGAGGTGAAGTGTTTATATGACAAAACATGGAAAAGACTGAAACATGTACACACACACACACACACACACACACACACTCTGCAGGTGAGGGATGTATGTGAATTATTAAAGTTGCCAATTAGACCAGTTGACATTTAGATCAAAAACACCATGACATTGGCCTTTAGCAAATGCTTTCTTTCTCTCATTCTCTCTCTCGCTTCCTCCATCACACACACACACACACACACACACACACACACACACACACACACACACACAAAGGGCATCAAACGTACCGCTGCTCTCAAATACATGAATTACCACAGAAGGAGGTTCCAACCACGTGCACAGAGAGCAGTGGGGGACACGGACTGAGCCGTCACTTATATTTGATATTTGACATTTGACTTCATTGAAAAGAGGAGGAATGGGCGTGTGGTGGATGATGAAAAGCTTTGAATTTAATTTTACAACACAGGAAAAAATGTGAAGCACCAAAAATACAGTTCAATGCAAAAGAAAGAAAGTTTTTCAAATGAGGCAATTACCAAAACTCATCTCAGCATAAAAACTGGATCAAGAGAGAAACGGCTAAGGTGAAGAAGGTAAATGTCTAAATAAAGAAATCAAACTCAACTCTGTGTTTTATTCCTGATTAAACCTTCACCAGGTGAAGTCCAGCAAAACTAGATTCAGAGGAGCTCTTACCGTGGAGGTGAGTCTGGGTAAATGTTGACCTGCGACAGCGTCTCTCTGTACGAGTCAAAGTCCAAACCAGGAGGAAAGTCTTCTAAGCAGGTCGACCTGAGTTCTCCCACTGAACCTCCGTAAGAAAAACCATCTGGTCCTGCAGAAACAGAGATGGACCATTAGCATGTGTGTGATCTCATTTGTTGTCCACATACACAGAAGGGACAGTGAGGTGTTTCTTTTTGTTTGTTCGGTAATTTTTTGGTTTGTTTTCCATCCATTTTAATTCTTGATCATAGTATCATCATCATGCTACCTTTAATTGTTGTCTACTTTACAAATAAGTTTTTCTTCTTTTCTAACAACTGCTAATTCCGAGAAGAAGTTAACAAAACCAACAAACGCAGAAGAACCTAAAAACTGAGTTCACATCTGTTAATCAGGATCAATTTGTCGCTCTCTTATTAAAAAGCTACTTGTAGGACCAAGCGTTGCTCTGAAACTGACCGTAGCTAGCTCGCAGGTGTGGGTTGCGGAGTCGACTGTCTTTGCGCAGGCTGCCGACGATGATGGTGATGCAGGAGAGGAAGAGGACCAGACCTATAACGATCCCCGCCACCACCAGCGGAGACACCAGGAGAGACGCCTCCCCTCCCGACTCCCTCTCACTGCGGCAGTCTGGGTACTCCCCATGGCTCTGGTTGGAGCTCACTGCAGGGTGGTGGAGAAAGATAGAGAGGGGAGGGTCACTGTGGTCAGAATATATTTCAAAGATCACTTTTGACTTCTGAAAAGTTTATTAAGACTTTAAGAGACTTTAAGAGTCGTCTTGTTAAATACAATTCAAATAAACTGCTAAATTCCACACAGAGTTTTCCTGATTGATATTTTTAAGTTCAGTATTCATCTGTTGGAGCTCAGTTTTGTTCTCCACCAACTACTGAGGAAAAGATGAGGCTCTTTAGCTCCTTTCATTGAACTATATTCATCTTCTTGTTGAAAGCAAACAATAAAATATATTAAAACTCTGTCTCTCTTATCTGTAACGATTGTCAAAGCTCACAGCAGCGACACTGCACCATGAGATCATGTTACATAATTGTTGTCTTAACCTGCTCACATCTTACTCCCTCCTGCTTCTGCTCTCTCCCGCTCCCTGAGGACTCATTCCATTTCAGTGTGTGACAGATAATTAGAGCTATAGCGCACACACATACACTCTCTCTCTCTCTCTCTCTCTCGCTCTCTCTCTCTCTCTCTCTCTCAGTCGTCATCATCATCATTAGATTACAGAATGATCCTGCTCCTCTCCTCTTCTGTTTAGTGTCTCATCTGTCTGTTTGCTCGGGCCGTCCACGTCTTTCCTGTACTGTCGTCACTCTGAATCTGCGTTTGTTCGCTCACAACACATCTGAGCGAGGATGATACGGGCGAGCGTTCATTTTCTCTCTTTCACTTTGTTCACGCCAAAAAACAAAGACGTTGCGCTGTCACTCGTGATCTCTACGATGGTGAGAGCAGAATCTTTCACGTGACAAAAAGTGCATCATGTACTTACAAACATTCCTACTGTGTTATTTCTGTGTGTGTGTGTGTGTGTGTCCGTTCATTGCAAAGACCATTTATGTGAATTTAAATCTATATAATTATAGATCTCCTTGTGAGTTCTCTTTGGAGAGAATGAGGGAAAATGGAGTTTATGAGGACGAGATGAGAAGCGAAATGAAGAGAAAATCGCGTTAGCAGAGGGAGAAGGCTCAGACAAAAGCAGTGTGCGAGAGCGGACACGTCACGGAGCGAGGAGACAGGTCTGCTGGGAACCGTTTGGGGTGAGAGAACATTTCCCTCTTCTCGGGAATCTGTGTGAAACCAAATTACTGTAGACAACAGAATTACAGACGCAGACATTCAGGGAGGAGAGAGATGAGAAGTGAGCGACAGAGGAGCACAAAGAGTGAAATGAAAAAGATATTGTGAGTGTACATCATTGAGAAACCTTGATTGTTTACTCCTGCTTTATATTCAGTGCGGTGAAAGACAGAAGGAGAGAAAAAAGAGAAGCAGCGAAGGAGGCCGTTCTCGTCCGGGTCATTCAGGGAAGAAAATTACACATCTGGAAATTTCAGGACACAGTTCAAAGCATTGAAGTGTCTCATCAGGTGCATTTAACAGAAAACAAAGACAGATGTTGACTCTTTTACCTTCATATTTTGCCATTCACGGTTAAAACATCTGGAAAATCTTTTTCTTTTAGATTTTCTGTCCTTAATTTGTAGCCCAGTGTAAAATGAAGATATTAGAAATAACAGAATTCCTAAGCAAATCAGATTAAAGTAATTTTGGTTAAAACAGTAATTAAATGCTGAAAATAAAGATCTGTGTTTTTTGTGATTCCTTGTCTGAAGTTATGATGACTTAATGTCACATAAGCATATACACACACACAAAAACATTATACGTCCTGTCCTCTCTCAACTTCAACGTGAGAAGGAGAACTTAGGGAATAGAAAGAGAGGAGAGGAACGATGGACGGAGCAGACAACCACACGATAATTTGATAGATGGAAGAAGAGAGAGGAAAAGAGAGAGAGAGAGAGATAGTGTGTATGTGGTGATTGTGTTACATTTCAAAACCCTGAGGGGACCGGACAAAGCTGCACAGAGCAAACAGAAGGAGAGGAGAGAAATGTTTGTGTGTCTACATGAAAGTATTTGAATCTCCGAGTGTAAAAATATTACCTCAACACACCCATCCCATAAAATACATCAGTGGAAATGAAGAGAGAAGCAGATTAACAAGAAACCTATAAATCTCCAGTCATCGAGAATCATTAAAAGTCATAAATCTCGTTTGCCTTAATGAAATTGTCCCGTGTAAACATTCATTATGTAACACAGGTAATCCCCGAGGCAACTGGATCGCCGAACGGTCAGGGTGCGTTTGAGGAGCATGCAGGTCTCTGGTTCGATTCCTATCAGGGTTGTCAATAGCATCAATACTCTGTGTTTAAAATAATTAAATATCTGTTAATTTCACTTTATACCAAAACAGATCTACAATCAGAGATTCAATCAAAGTCTGCATCTAAGAAACAATATTGAAGAAAACCGACTGATCCTCAACATGTAGGTGTTTGTTTATTCCCTCAGCAGCTAATCTTTACATCAGTGACCTGTCGCTGTAGTGTGCTAAAGAAGTGAAGATGACCACCATGGAGATAAGAGACGTTCATGATCATGTTGTAATGATAAGAGTTAATGGCCTGGATTCTTTCTCTCTAGTTTGTGTCGGTGTATCTCTATCTGTATTTTCATATTCTTTCAACAAATGAAAAAAAATGTGATCCCACAAAACTTCAAGAAAAAGAAATATTTCCACCCCGGTTGTTTCTTGTTGCTCGGAGGCACTTCAGCAGTGCTCATGCTTTCAGGCCTTTTAGAAACACACATCGTCCTCTATACAACACTTGATCATCGCTGTGGGTGGGCGTGTATATGCTATACTGTATGTTCATATATAATGAAACAGCAACAGTGGTAATTCACTGTGACAGCTTGTCACTAAGGCTTACTGTTGAATATGCACCCCCCTCCTACACTATATACTGTGGTGTGATACAACAGAGCACTTCATAATTCTGCTGCTGACACCAGCCCTGAGCTCAGTGTTGACCCGACACTCATTTACCGTCTTTCAATGAGCGAGAGATTCAGGTTTTCTGCTTTTGTTGTTTTTACTGTAACGACGTCCGCACCCTGACTTCTGAATCAGCTCTTTACAAACGTCTTTGCCTCCTTCCTCAGCTGACAGACGTAACAAGGAACAACCTGGCAACGCGGCCGCAGATCTGCACTGACGAGGAAACTTTTACTCAACATCGAGCATCAAGCCGCGAAGGGAGCAGCTGCAGGAGAGGTGCATTAAAGATTCTATTGGGTTCGTTCTGCAGCGACAGTGTTTTGTAGAAATCTAGAAGATATTTGTTCTCTAATGAAAAGCCAAAGAGCTGCTTGGTTTCTACAAGTACCCCTGAGAAGATTAAATACTCTGCTTAAGGTGTAAAATAATAATTCTCTGAGTTTTAAGCATCATCAGATCACTGTGCAACTGCACAGGAGCGTTTCTAGGGACTTTGGGGGCCTGCAGGCTTAAGGCACCTGAGGGGCCCCTTCATCAACTAAACTGAGACACCACTACTTTGCAAATTGTATCATTACGAAGGTGCCCATGCACATGTGGGAGTATCCATTGCTGACCACTGTAGAAGCTTGTGAAGAATCAACATATTTTTTACGAGACAACGCAATTTCTTTGCCAGAGCATTAGCATAATGTATGTTAATTGAGTGGAGGGCCCGCAGGTTTGGATTCGGTGCTGCTGGTGGTCTGCTCGCAGCGTTTTTCCCCTGAGAGATGACTTAAGTAATCACAGAAAATATACTGTAGCTAATGTAATTAGAAGTATACAAAGGGCCGTGAAGAAAAAAATGTGTTTAGTAAATATATCATATTGTCTCACACATCCCCCTGGGAGGAGAAAGCTCCAGAGATTCAAAAAGATCATTTCAATAATGAATTATGGATTAAAATTTTACGTGGAGTTAAAGTTTGCAGTTTGTTTTTTTTGAAGAGTCATCGGCCAAAAGATTCAAGATGTTTTATTTTATTTCTGTAGTTTTTAGGGTCGTTCCCTTTGTGTTAAAGGTCAACATGTAGGTGTTGTGTGTGTGTGTGTCTCTGTGTGTGTTAATCCAGATTGGGGAAGTCACTCGGAGTCATTTATTTTTGGGTGTCACAAACTGTAAAGGTTAAGAGCCTGTGATATTGACTGCTGCTGCATTCGCTGCATCACTCTGTGCATTAGCTGCATTCATTATACAGCAGCATCAGGCAGTCACTCTGATTCAATCTGACAGCTTGTCGTTATGAGTTACAACCACCTTCTCTTCAATATGAAATATACCATAGCCATGGCCGACTGTACATCCAGGCAGAAAGAGCGACTCATGACCGGACGTTCGATACCGGACGACAACAAACTCTCTATCGTGTGTCTTAAAGGACCATGCCACCTTTCCCCAAATCACGCTGCAGGGTCTTTACAGTATGGACTCTGAGGTCTCAGCTCTATTAAACTGTGAACAAACTTTTTTATCTTTTGACTTTCGATCACTGTCTTGTTTTCCTCCATTTCCTGTTTTATTTAGAAACTATTTACAGCTTTATTTCCTGCCTTTGTCCTGTTTCCCGCCCTTGTGGTCGTCTGCACCCGTTTCTAATTTGTTTCACCTGTGTTCAATTACCCATAATCCTCCCTTGTGTATAAAGTCTCTGTTTCCCCTCAGTTGACTCCAGTCTTTCCTCAGTTTTTTTGAATATATAATTTTTTTTTTATATCTCTCACCTGACATCTCAGACGTATTGAAGGATTTGCTTTTCTCACATGACGCCACAAATCCCAAAAATCTGATCAGAAGGTCATGAAACAAACAAACTGCTGCAAAGAGCTGCTTTGTCTCTCTATCCAGAACTGGAACTGAGCATAATCTGTGGTTCCTCCAAATTATGTGATAAACTTTGATTTAACGTTTTCTACTGCACAGTTTTCATATCGGGACGTGTGAGGCCGCTGCTGGGACCTGGCTCCTCTCTCACTCTCCTGATTCACAACAGCTTCTCCCTGTTTATCACCACAGGCTGAGAAACCTTCT